AGCCATCCGTGGTCGTTTTATATAAGAATGCCTTGATGGGGTTTTCGGGCGATGCCCACATAGCTATGACTATTCCCGAGTTTCAGGGTACAAGGCACCGGAAAAGGCCAAATCATAATACTTAGCTATGACTATTCCCAAATTTCAAGTACAAGCAACCAGAAAGGGCTGAATGATAATATTTAGCTATAGCACCATTCCACCCCTCCAGCAGCATTCCAAGATCACCCCTCCAGCAGCATTCCAAGATCACCCCTCCAGCAGCATTCCAAGATCACCCCATCCAGCAGCACTCCAAAATTACCCCTCCAGCAGCATTCCAAGATCACCCCTTCAGCACCCATCAAAGAGCACACCTCCAGCACCGTTACAAGATCACCCCTCCCGCACCATTCCAAGAGCACCCGTCCAGCACCATTAAAAGAGCAGCATTCCAGCACCATTCCAGCACCATTCCAAGAGCAGCATTCCAAGAGCACCCGTCCAGCAGCACTCCAAGCACAGCATTCCAAGTGCAGCATTCCAAGCGCAGCATTCCAAGTGCATCTCGTGGTAAACTGATTATGCGCTGTTCTGGTTGCAGTAGGGTCCGGTTTTGTGATTTTTGGGACCGGTTGTGATAGGGCGGCTTTTCGGTTGCCATCTGGTTGTGGTATAGGACTTCTGGTTCTGGTAAGGACAATGTCCCCCGCCAGGTTCCCCCACTTTCAGCAAGCGAGGCTGGCAACTTGTTCCCACATCTAGCCATAAATACAGTGCCAAGCCTCCCCCCCTCACACCACCACATTCCCAAAGCGCAAGCTTAGCAATGGCAATCTCATCCGCGCCGCTTTGCGTTTTTGACGCGGACGCAGACGTGTGCCAGTCCAGCCCTCACTCCTTGGCCAACCTGGCACCGACCATCTCTAAATATACCTACCTACCTTCCTACCTATCTTTGCTGCTGCGTATGTAAATGCGTCTCTCAAGGGTCGCTTACCCGGGTCGGCGGCAGAGTCGAACTGCGGTAGCAGGTAGTGCATATTGCAGGTTGGACCAGGGGTCTAAATTGGGGAGCTGCAGGGGGCAGCTGGCCAAGGTCAAAGTTCGATCCTCAGTTCATGCAGCCCTGGCCTTGCACTCCAGTCTTCCACCCGGGCCACTTGTTGCCACGTCGCACAATAATCATATCAGTGCCTGACTCTTCAGAAGAATGACCCAGAAAATCACCAGCCGTGACAGAAAACCCTACGCTAATGCAACATGTGAGGAAAACTGGAAAAGATCATGAAGACTGCCACCTGCCACCATGTTGCCCCATGAGTTTCCTGCTATCACCTTCGGCAACACGACCTCGTCGAAGTCCTCGTAAACAGCAACATACATGCTTCCTGCCCGAGCCACTCAATGCAAAAACACATTGGTTGTAAGCAAGCCTTCTAATAAGCTGCATCATCAAGTCCGCCTTCCCTGAATACCCGTGCCACAATGACACAACAAAATCAGTATGCCAGATCTTGAGAATCCCTAGCGAAAGGAGAAGGTCAAGATGATGCACAAGTGCAGGTAGATTTTGATTTGCTGCTGAGTGCAACCTTTCACAGACCTGCAAGCATGACCAGACAGTGACAAAACTGTCTTGAATCCGGACCTGGCAAGCTTCATATGGCTTCCTCAGATGTCACAGGGGACACCAGCCGCCTCAACAAATGATAACCTCAGTAAATCAGCTTGAGGTCCAGCCAGCTGGAATATCGAGCCAGTTGTCGTCGTAGTCTTTCACCATATCTGTTCCTGAGTTCATGGAAACAACAACACACTCAACAGATGCCAGCCTTGTAGTGATGTCTTGACACGCATGTTGAAGGCAGTTTCCCATGATTCAGCACAGACTTTCTTGCGCCTCACGCGGCATCGGAGCCAAATGCAACACTGGGCATCTCCCCAAACACAACCAAAGATACCACCCTCATGGCAAATCCCCAGGAAAGTTCCCCCTTTCCTGCAGAAACCGAAGTACGAAGCTTGTTGTCGAAGATTGATTGATGTAGAACAAGCAGTCGCATACCGAGAAACCCATGTCTGAATCAGACGGCGCTTTCCACGGTAGGACTGTGAAACATCTTCCATTTTCGTTGACCTCAGTGTAAAGTTGCATCAGCGTGCAGGCACAAAAGGCAGCAGCCTGCGTCCAAGTCACAGTATAACCTTGCGGAGGATCTTGGACAGCATCCAGGAGTAGCTCACCAGAAACAGTACAGCAGCTGCCACTTGGGCCTAAGTGGCAGCAGAATGGCGCTCTGCCGACACTGCTCATACGAACAGGCATATGTAGACAGCTTTGGACGACAACCAGCTACAAGTACTTGAAATGCTCCGAACGCACAGCTGAAGAAAACTGCGTGCAGGCTCCTGTCCTCAAGCGAGGCAAATGCTCAAATGTAAACACCCTGCCTTCACGCCTTCTTCAGGTATGCAAGCTGTCAGGCTGCAGATGTGGACAGATGTGGGGTTGGGGCGCTGGACACAGCAAGACTTGAGATGAGAAGCAAGCAGGCACTTGGTGCATGGAGTACGCATTTTCCGCAAGTGGCGCCGCAGCTGAAACGTGAGAGCGTTAAACAGCTGATGCACAACGATGCTGGACTTCGCGAATGGGAAGTTGCGGTGGGCTGAGCAAGGCAAGAGTACAGTCCCGCGAATGATGCATATGATTTTTTCCAACTGCCAACACACGGTCGACTTGGAAATTGGCATTAGGGGATCAACAGCTCCAGCGAGCATGACAAATGCCACCATGCCTTTGTGACCTCAATTGCGGAAGACATCTTACTTGTTCGGAGTCAGAGACCTCGCTGAAAAGCTACGGGCCAAAACTGCCAGGAAACGGAGCACCTCGCAGGATTGGCTAATGCTGACCGCCACTTCTGGAGCCTTTCAACCATCGCTTCTTGCTTGCAACGTCTGGCTGTCCGGATCTTCGGAACAGGTTTTTGTTGGCTGATGTGGAGTTTCAGGCGAAGCAGAGAAGGGCCCTGCGGAGTGCCATAGACTTAGAGACGGCACAGTTTTGAAGTGCCATCATTTGAGCTGAAGAGCTAGAGACGTGCAGGCGCAGAAGACCCTGGCAGGCCGAGACTAGTAGATATGTTGGGCGGGCTCACCATGATCCTGAGTTAGGGTTCATACAGCTGAACTCAGGAATGCAAGCGCCACTCCGGGTGCTTGAAGGTGCTAAATGCGGACATGCTGCAACAAAGGACCTGAACTTCGCATGTGAATCAATCGTGCATCCTCCATGATCTCATGCATCATGCTAGATTGAAATCAGAACTGCTGCTGGGATGCTCGAGTGACGTGCATGACGCGCCGCCCCTGCTACAAGAAGCAAGGATGGAGGACGGCAACAGGTTCCGTGCAGCTACAGTCCAGGTGCCTGGACATGTGCCAGCTGCTCGCACCAACCGAGCTGATGTTTGTCGGCTTCCTGTTGGCTTGAGAGTTCAGTTGTGCCTGAATACACACATGCACCCATGCATCTACAGCATGACACCTTGCACCAACAAAAGCACAATCATTAATCCGAAGCGTGCAGAAGCTAAAACATCAGATGTCCCCCTCAAGCATCCGCAGAATGCTTAAAAAACCTTCCGACGCAATGTTGGAGCGCCACGACCTTCGATGGTTCAATTCTGAGCTAGGATCAGCCAGTCAAAGCCTGCCAATTGTGTGTTTTTGGCTGGTTTCTTACCTCAGTCATTCCGTAACGCATCTGTCGAAAAGAAGGCTGCAAGTTTCGCGCTGAAAATGAAGATGCACACACGGACAGCCTAATTGTCTCCAGAGATCCAAGAACCCGCAAACTAGCCTGCAAACGCAACTCGCATGAGGTGCCAGGTGATAGATCCAGCGCTTGCTGCAGTTCCTCAAAGGCAGCACATGCACAAAGCGATGGCAGTTGTTACCGTGAGCCTGGTTTGGCTCTGCAGTGCTCTGCAGGCGGGGAGCGAGCGTGAGAGCATGTGAGCTGACGTCTCTCAGCTGTTCAACCCTCACCTCAACTGCGAGAATCTCTGTCAGTCTCTGCTGGCTCAACACTGAGTATCATGTGGCGTAACACAGATCCACTCCTTTGATTGGATTTCCAAAACATAGTGGCTCCAGTGGCTCCTTTAACACAACCAGAAGCCAAGTACCGCAGGCCCCAGCTGATGACTGCCAAGGCGATGGGGAAACAACAGCAAGCGCAGCTGCAGCACATGCATAACATAAGTGGCCCAAATGCACGGAGTGTGCCACGAACATTCGCCAAACGTAGTGGATCAATCTGCTCGCACGCGCAAGCTGACTTTGCACTCCGGAATCAGAATACATTTTTGGGGTGCAACTTGCTGTCCGTACTTCCTGCCAATGTAATTTCAGACTTCTTCATCAGGTAACGCTAAAAAGCGAGCAGCCAGCCGCCTAGTTGGAAGCTGATTTTCTTGGAGTCTGAACACGCCAAGTCAAGCTGCTGGGCCAATCGAAAGGACTTTACCGCCACGTTCTTCTACGACCTTTTGAGCTGCTTCCCTGCTTTGATCTGCACTCCTCACAGGTACTCTTCTTTAGCTTACCACAACTCATCGCTCAGGATGCACAGTCCCAGTCCTTCTGCAAATATCTAAGAACCTGCCGAGGACGTCGCTACCTAGCAGGGCAAGTCTTTCGGCTGTCAAGCCTACACACAATGAACTTGTCATGCATTTAGCTGCCTTCTGTGCTGAAGGAACGACGCAAGAAAGGAACATGCACGGTGCCCGTGCATCTCCTGAGCTCAAGGGCTGGCATTACACGTTGTGACAAAGCTCAGCCAGCATGTGCTTTGTCACTGGCATGGAAGGCCTCTCAATACGAGCGCACAGTCGCCGCAGGCCAGTGGCTCCAGCAACGGCCGTGTGTACTGCTGCAACTCCAGCAATCACCATGGCTTACTCTTACGGAATTCTGAATCAAACACTGCAAGAGTCCGCAGGCTGTATGCTAAAGTCACGTACACCATGGGGACTACAATGATTTATTGGCTTGAGTGGCAGGATGCGGAGCTTCTCATGTCAAAAGTGCACATGATGGCATGCAGTCAGGTGCCTGTTTCGTTATCGCAGGCAGCCAATGCCACTGCGCCAAAACCTGGACAAGAGTCTCTGCATATGAATACCTGTGCCGGCAGCATTCGCTCAGAGCACCTTGTAGGGCAAAGGAATGCTTAACCCGGTCTTGTTCATCTGCCTTGGTCACGTGTCCTCTGTGTTGCGTAATTACGCCAAGCAGTTTACTGCACTCAGGCCGAGCAATCACCCAGCAACATCCAATTACAACAAATGCTTGGACTCACGGGAGCAGAAAAAGCAGGCACTTTCGTGCTCATTCCTCCAAAAGTTGTTCGGACCTATGCCCACAAATAAGCTTTATTCAAACCAGAGTCTTTGCAGCCATTTCAGGGTTTCGGGTTTGTGGCCACCGCTTTCCGGTTTGTGCACCGCCCCCTTCAGCGATTTAGCGTACAGAAATGATATATGATGTAATCAAAAAATGAATTATAAGTAAAAAACAATCAAAAGTTAAATCACCCATAATCAATGAGAAATTCCACTAGCCAAAGGTGGACAGACACAGGGATCGTGGGGGTCCAGCTCGCCATCCTGATAACTGTCGTGGCTTTCAACCTTCGGATCCTTGTTGAGTTTCAAAGAAAATCAACAATTGCAGGGGGGTCGCACTGGCGGACGCACGCCCAGCTCAAGCCATGCCTTGCTCAGGCCATGCTTTATTCAGGTCCTGGCGGCACAGGCCGGCGCTCTTTCCAAGCCCAGCCATGATCTGAAAACCAAGCCCACCCCAGCCCTGCTGATGCTCCTGATCGGGGAAAGGCACGAAAAAATGCTATTCTTGCCATCTGTTGTTTTTTGGTTTGGAAGTTCTTTCTTCTCTCTAGTTTAACTCAGAAGCGAGTGGCAACTTGCAGGTGATGCTCGCATCGATGCCCACATGAGACTGACCTTGAGGGAGTTAGTTCAGTTTGAACCTAAGCTGTTCAAATCCAATCAATCTTGGTTGGACAAGAAAGCACAGAATTGGCTGCGGCGCCACGCAAAATTCATTTGTATCATCGACTGCGACAAGGGTCTTGGAGATGCTTTAGTTTTGAGGTCCTGGATGGTGGAACAAGCACATGTTCAGCCAGCTCAGGGCTATGTACAGATTACTCTGTAGGAGTTCGTAAGACAGTTGGCCAACTGGAAGCATGGTTCCAGCGCTCTGGTACACTATTTCGCCGCTTCTAGAGTTTTGTCGCAAGCGGAGGTGCTTTTCCTTCACAGCTGCTTCAGCCGGACTTCTGCTGGTACGTTTCGCATACTGGTCAATGTAAACATGTGCCCGGCTGGTTCCAGACCCATTTGCAATCTTCGTTATTGTTGGTTTCAGCCTTTTTCAATCTTCTTGGTCGAGAAGCTGGCTCCGCTCATCTCTGATTTGAGTTCAGTGGCGGTTTCAACCAATCAGCTTTTGCAACAGCTTGAGTCTATCACTTGCCTTCCGCAGATGAGTTCCTTCACGCTGGATGTTGTGAACTCATACCCTTCGGTCAATCGAAATCATATGTTGGCTCTTGTAGCCTCCTTCCGGAAGCAGCGCTTGAGCAATCCGGGCCTGTGCGATTTCATCATTCGTATATTGGAGCTGGTTCTGGATGCTTGCATTGTTTCTTTCGATGGTTGTCTGTACCATTCCCAAGGTGGTATACCGACAGGGTTCTCAGTTGCTAGCATTCTGGCAAATCCGCCGACCCCGCTCTGCG